TCCTTTGTACAGCTTGTAAATATTTGTACCCCTCATTTATAAATAATGAAAAAAAAATAGATAGGGAGCTTCCCTGCTGACTTGCTCAAAAAAAGAAATTATTGAAGAAAGGTTAAAAAAAGAGCTTTCTATCGTATTCCTTTCGTTCACTTGGAATAATCGAGATTTTTAGGACCTTTTGGAGATGTTCTTAGTATCAGTTGTTTCGTTGTACATGTTTCAATCTGGTTTGCTAATTCTTGGCGATCCTAGCTGATAAGAAACAAATGGTTCTTGCACTCATATCTCTTTGGTTTCGTATATAGCTTGGCAACCAATGCAATTTGAGCCCTATAAGCTTACAGATCCACATCACCAAGCTATATCTAATGGTACCAAATTTGACAGGATTTCTTTGATAAATCTGTTAGATATATAAAATAAAAAGATCAACAAAAAAGAAAAGCATGACAATTTCTGTTCATCAATGCAATGACCTATTCAGCTAAGCAATCCACATATAAGCATCGAATAGTCCACGGCATGGTTCCAATCTCCAGTTCTCCGCGGTTTCTGCAGCCATTCACGTTGTTGTCGCATTCCATCTCTCGATCAGGCCAAGAAGCGAAGTGACTCCCTGAAGCCACAAAAGTGCAGCGTGTCCACATATAAGCCACAAAAGTTGCATGGTAATTTCACGTAAACTTCTCCAAGAGATCAGTCACGTTCAATCCATAACAGACTGGAACACGCAAAAATACAGCTCAGAATTGGCTAATTCTATGCCCGAGAAGGAGAAAAAGGATTTGCCGATGAAGAAAGTCCAAGAGATCAGGCTTGCGGCATCTTCAGTTCTATGGATGCTAGGCTTACTCATGGTGACAAGGTGGACTTCCATGGAGGCATGGAGCCAAGTCTGGTGTTACCAGACAGTGGCGTCTTTTGGTCAGAAGTTTAAGTTTCTCACTGGTGGTGGAGGTCTGAAGAGCGTTGTTTTTGGTGATGCTAGTTGCTGTTGTTTGCTCGTAAGTCTCATTGGGATTGGTGTTCTAGATTGGTATATGTCAATCTCAGTGCTGTAACGGATCAATTGAACCATATTTTGACTTGAGTTGAAAGACCGGGCTTGGCCCTAAAACTCTAGAAAAATATTTTTCTCAGTCCACAAATATACATAATGGTAGTTTGAGGACAAATTAAGCAAGATGTGAAATTACTCAAATATATATCCTTGATTAAAGCAAGTCTAATCTTTGATTACTCAGATATTGTACCTAGAATCCCTTATGTTTGTAGACAGAGTGTGTAATTGATGGATGCGTGATGATGATCATCCGGGCACGCGTAAAGCCTATACTACTATGTGGTGGATCAGAGCTGTTCGTTTCACTGAAAAACCAGGCTGAAAAATACTGTTCGCTGATTTGTTGTGAGAGAAAAATATTATATCGTGACTGATAAGCCAGGTAGATAAGTTTAAGCGAACAGGTAAGGTGGTAAGGTGGTTGTACTAGCGAATGCTAATAATGAAGCGCTGATCTCGTCTAAAAAGGCACCGGCCTGTCAGTGTGTTATTATGGACTAGGTAGCGTGCCCGTACGTTGTGACGGGACAACTAAATGTTTTATACTAAAAATACACGGATCGCACGATAAGATAACAATACTGTTAAATTAAATACCGACGTCAAAGTGGCATTTAATTCAAAAAGCAAAGTTCGTGAAATTAACACAGTCGCGGAGAGCGCGACGTCGCAGGCTCACAAACTCTACTGTATAGACTTTTTCGTGATACGGCTAAGATAATATTTTATATCAGAAAAAAGAATTCTACGATATCCATTTCTTTCATACACCAATAAATCCATGAATAAATTCCGCTGCATCTCCATATAATCATGTACACACAGATTCGAGTATATATACAAATAGGTTCATGCCCATGCATTGCTACGGGACAGCTAAACTTTTGTACTAAAAACACACGGATCGCACGATAAGATAATAATACGGTAAAAATATATGACCGATGTTAAAGTGACATTTAATCTAAAAAGCTAAGTTCGTAAAATTTACACAGTCACAGAGAGCGTGGCGTCGCAGGCTCACAGACTCTACTATGTAGATCTTTCCGTGATGCGGCTAAGATCATTTTTTATACCGGCAGAAGAGATTTCTGATATCCATTTTTTCGTGCGCCAACAAATCCACGAATAAGTTCCATCACATCTCCATACCATCCTGTACACGGCGCTGGCAAGCGAATTAGCCACAACTTATGTAATTAGTTTTATAATTAGCTCATATTTAATCCTCCTAATTGATATCTAAAAATTCAATGTGACAAGGACTAAAGTTTAGTCCTGGGATCCAAACACCCCCTGACTCTCGACTCCTGCTGGCTGCTCACTTACACCACCATGCCTATGTGTCTGCACATATATACTCTAATGCCAGAACATCTAAGATGGTCTTTATTGTTCACCCTTTGAAAATATCATAACTTTAAGGTTGTCATTTATGTATGCTGTAGGATTGGGATGCTTTGCACTGATCCATGAGGGTATCCACGAGAGTCGAAATTTTTGATGCCATTATGATGTCTAAGCTTACCAATCAGACAGAGACAAACTTAATTGTTAAAATATTTTCAACACTGCTTTCATATACTCCCTCTGTCCCAAAATAGAATTCATTCTCGCTTCCCGAAAAGTTAACTTTTTTTTAACTTCGACCAATTATATATAAAAGAATATTAATATTTATAATACATAATTATTATCATTACATAGAACATTGAATATATTTTCATAATAAACTTATTTAGAGATATAAATATTGCACGTATTTTTTACAAACCTAGTCAAAGTTGAGAAAGTTTAACATGCACGCATCCCATAACGACTTATATTTTGGGGCAGAGGAAGTATATGCTAATGGGAGTAGTCAACTGGAAGTCGTGATGAACACAACAATACTTTCATATTATATGTTAATGGGAGCACGGAGAAACGCAGGGGAATGGACCTATATACAAATGGTGGAAATATTCATTTAGGAAATTACAGAAGGTTCACCAGTCTCACCATGTATAATCTGCACATCTTTTATTTGGCACCACTGATGTTCTCAAGGAGCAGCCACTTTTTAATTTCAGGTCTGCATGCTGAAAACACTAAAATTAAGGGTCAACCTCATTGAGTCGTCTTGCTTGATCTTTGACAACTGTCTTGCTTGAGCTTTGCGAACAAATTATACCGTTGACAAAGACTAACACATAAAGAGGTAGAAGTTGCAAGAATAAAGCTATGTGGCCTACTATGCATCCAGCCTAAATTTAATACCCTCCAAATTATGGACAATACCATATGAACTGTTCTAACCGGCATGTTAACTCCATCATGTAGTACATCTAAGTGTTGAACATTCACATGCATAGTTTTTTTTATCATAGAATATATTTTTGTCCTATGAGAACATAATTTTTTTTTTCTAAGTGATAGCAGAGAGCCCCAAAATATTAGACAGAAACTCTCATTTTACTATCTCTACATCTGCTAAAAATTTAACTGAAGTTTAGTTAATCCATGGAATAATTTAGATTGTGCCTTTTGTACTGCCCCAACAATTATTTTACCAAGCATATACAAAATCTAGTTAACAGCATTCGATCCACAATCAAAATTTATTACCTTGGTATCCGAGGATCATAATACAGAAGATTTGCCGAGTGCCTGAGATTTGACACTCGACAAATGCGCCGTGACCGTTTCCACTCCGTCACGTTACTTTTTTCGCTGAGTGTTGGTTTCAGCTCTCGGCAAAGTCTTTACCGAGTGCTCGAGAGAAAACACTCGGCAAAGAGACGGTTGGCGGCACTGTAGATGACGTGTGCTGTTTGTCGAGTGTTACACTCGATAAATCCTTTTGCCAAGTGTTTTTTGGGCCTTGCCGAGTGCCTGTGGCACATGGCAAAACGACTGTTTCCGGTAGTGGTAGTGACCTGTAGCACAACTGGTAACGTGGCACGTCGACGATAATTGTGCAGGAAAAGTAAATTTGGCATTCTACATGCTATTGAGACATATCTTTGGCTTAACTGTAGTTGCTTTAGCTTTCTCCCACACAAATTCTTCAACAAGCTAAAGTGCACCAGAAGCCACTGCATCATAATCTGAAAGAAGCTGCAACATTTACACACAAAAAAAACAATTATCCTATTGAAACTAACAAATTGCAAAATCTTGTGTTGAATTCTGTTGAATTACTCCATAAAATCTCACACTGTGCTCTTGGATTGGTGCATATCAATGAAGATCTCTTCCCATGTTGCTTGGAAAGACAATCTATAGACTACACCAATAGACAAAAAATCCACAACTTAGAGATTCTGTTTTTTGTTCTCAAACAAGCATATTTAGTCCAATCATCTATGACTATTAGGACCTGTGATGTTCCAAACTTTTCAACTACCACTACTGTTCCAGCTCCAGCCCTGCTTATTAGCTGTGAAAAGTTCTAAAGGTCTATCCTTCAGAAAACTGCAAATATGATAGGAAATGCAGATTGCAACTGATATCTAGATGTGTTCACTCTTAGTGCCACAAATGTTGCTTAAGTTTCATCAACATGCTCTAATTTTCTTGTGTGAAGCTGACGATTTAGTTTTGCTATACTTCACTTTGCATAGCACTATGTTCCCTCCTCCCTCCCTCTCTCTCTCGTGTTAGAAACTTAAACTGCAGTATGCGTAACTAAAGGTTTAGGTGCCTCTGTTGGATCAATTATTGTTGATTGAAAGGCTTTCATTGATGAGGCCTGATCAATTGTGTCTCAAGTATAAAGTTCAATGATTTCTTTTCTAAGAGGAAAAAGAACCGCACAGATCAAGTAGCAAAGGAAATCTGAATAATATATACCTCCAGACAAGGAAAAGAATATATAAGATGTAAGATTCTTTGAAGAACAATAGTATTTTAAAAATTCATATCGTGTTTTGAACATTTCTGTCAGCCAACAATCTCATCCTCGGATGAGTTTTCTTCGATGCAAATAAAAGACATGAATTAAAGTCTCTGATATAGCTTGGAAACAAACTGTTGAATGTTTCCTGTACAGCTCTCTACCCTGCAAATAAAAGACAATATGCATAAGCTAGCAGTCAATAGATCTCAAGGGGGCACACTATCTAAAGGATGCAGCATTACGGCCATTACCTAGCCATGTACTTGTTGGTGAGAATTTATATAAATATAAAGAATGAAAAAGACGACAAGAAAGATTAGCATTAGACCAACTCCTTTGGATTCTTTACAAACACATCTGAAAGTTAACATGTGGGTTGTGGGCATCAAATCAAAACAACAAAAAGAACATGGATTCGACCATAAGTAGCATTTGCCCTCATTTTAAAAAAAAAAAAAAGGTACTGCACAGTTACAGGATTGTCAATCTTATCAACACCATCAATTTTTGGCAATTATAGAACTCAACCAAGACACCCATTAAAGTGCTACATCCCTAGCTCGCAACCCAATTAAGAGTAAATTCTCGCAGCCTAGCTCCCCAACCATTATTAAACTACATAAAAGGCTCCAAAATGAAGACCACTATTTGAAAAAAGAGTAAATGATAATCCCAATCAACTAATTGTCTTAACTTTATTTTCTTGGCAAAAAAACAGTTTATGTAATTCAATAATAGTAAAAAATAGTTGGCTGCCGGAGACCCTGCGCATGGACATCTTGACATACAGATTCTCCAGCCCATCCAGCTCACCCTAGCATCCGGGGGAGCACATGAGCTGGTGCCACCACTTATTCCGCAACCGCCACCAGCTGTGGAGTCCTTGATTGACGAGTATCAATGCTGAACGAAAATGTATTGCACACTATTTCAAGTATACAGACTCCTAATACTATTTATATTCATATTCGAATTATGAATATCTGATGACTGATATAGTGAAAAACTAAATTTATTCCACAAATGAACTGAATTTGCTGAACTCTAACAAACAACCATTAGTCTGAGAATTGAAACAAAAGGGCAATGGCGGCTACACTTACGTCAAGCAAGTCGGCGTCGATCCTAAACTTCCACGATGGCAGACCAATTCTGTCGCCTGAGTTGTCGCCACTCAGGCCTTCTTGTCCAGCAAGATCGAACAAGAATACACCAGGAGCCATCTGCAGCAACGCACGGCTTAGTACAATCCCTCGTAGCAGTGTATCGAGAAATAAATCAAATAATACACCAGAACCAGGATGCTTGCTGATGGATCTCGCTACCACGTGACTCCCTCAACCATGTTGCCGCTAGATCCTATGGGCCTCGCCCCGGTGGAGAGGGCATCGCAGAGGAGGACAGCATCGGAGGAGATCTTAATAGCAACGGTGAGGATAGGGAGAGGTAGGATGCAGTCATATGAGCAGGTTCCAATAGCACCTCGTTCACACAGAAACATGATTAAATAAAATTTGCATAATCTCAAATATGCAGCGATCATCTTATAGTAGTGTTTCTCATGATTATCATGAAATCATTAGTTGAGTAAGAAAATGAAGGAAAAAATTATCATCCAGAATAAGATGAAATCATAAACCGCACCTGATAAAGCAGTTGCAATCCTCTTCTGTTAGCGTGGCATCGTCGAGGGCCTCTTCGCAGTCGTCCGACGGCGGTCGGCGTCGATGGCATGGCTGTCGGATGAGGAGGGGGCGTTCCGGCGGCGTCTGAGGGCCGGATTGGCATCGTGGCATCCGGCCGACGAGTGCCTGGCGTGCGGCGGCGGCGGGGCGTTGTGGTGTCTAGCGTCTTCTGCGGGGTGGCGTGGATTCGCGAGAGCGCACCACGGGAAGGACAGGAGGGGCGCGTCAATGTTGGCCTGGCGTCGATCGACGATCCGATTTACGTGGAGATGAAAGATATCTGACCGGGTGAGAGAAGGGCACTGTATGATTGTTTCCTTCCATGTATGATTATTGTTTTCTTCCATGCATGTGGCCTCAGGTGATCGATTTGTTTCCTTCAAAGCGGCGGGGATCGCAGGGATGGCAGTTTTTTTTTCTATCGCGCGGGGTATCGTACGGCCGGAAGGGAGGAGCGACAAAAAAAAGTCGCTTCAAAAAATTATCTTACTTTTGTTCTTTTTTAGTGGTAGGAGATTCAACGAATCTCGTTCGTTTGGTCAGATTGGCGTGTTCCAGGGGGCACGCTGACGGTGGCTTCACATATGCGATTGTAAGCTTGTTCGTCAGTTCGTGGTGCGAATTTATGCCAAAGAGATCTTTTATACTTCTTTTTTCAATTGTTTTTCAGATCTTTATTTTATATAAGGATATTAATTTAGTAGCCCGGAAATAAAGGCTATAACCCTCTTTTTAGAAAAATAAAGATAGGTCATTTTTGTAATAAAGATATGTGCGCGATCGCCCCAGAAATGCCATAATATCGTCAATTCGAGTTCTGCTTGGATCGAACCAGACGGACACGCAATGAACGGTGCGTGCGTAGACCAGTAGTAGTACTTGGCAGGTTTATATGTGTGTATACATTCCCTGTGGCTGAAGAACAGAACTGCAGGAGGAGACTCCACGTACGCATGGTTGACAACTCATTAACAGGTTTATTGCCAACTCGCGCGACTACTAGTATTTTGTTTGGGAAACTTGTGGCTTGCGCTTCCCGTTTTCCGGTGGATGATTATCACAAAAATTTGACCTGTCTCTCCATTTGTTTCCATACTACTGGTACTTTTTTCCATGGAAATTCGACTAGCTCATGAAACATGGTGTTGACTGGACAGCTTTACATGCCTAACTTTGATGCCGGCCTGATCTTCCCATGCTCTACATGTCCTGTCACTAGTCCTATTTTGTTTGAGAAACTTATGCCTTGTGCTTTCCGTTTTCTAGTGGATGACTATACGCATGATTAGGCCAGTCTTATTAGTCGGAGATTTTATGTCTCTGTTTTCAAGACGTGACGGTCTTGAAAATTAAGCATGAAACAGTCTCTGTCAGTGCATAGTTTTATTTCACTGTTTCATATGCTAGATTGAGCATTTAATTCTTCCATGTTGTCACGATTTAAAAAAATTGAACCTTAAATCATCTGCCGAGTATAAATACATGTGGTGATTTTTTCATAATTGCCATAAGAGTTGAACCACTTTGTTCAAGTAACACTTGTAAAATTCCTTTGTTCCCAAACATATGCACATTCTCAGAGATCCAGAGGCAAAGAACATATAGCAGTGGTGCAGTTATATTCAACCTCTCCTTATTTGTATCTGAGGGAGCAATCACTTTTGAAACATAGAATATTCGCATTGTAAAATGTAAATCAAGCGGAAATAGCATCTCACTGATTTAATATAGCAGAGAGGAATTCTTACCAAAATAATCGATACATCTGAGAGGAGCAGCTGAACAACTCCACAAAGAATTATGCCATGCTGGAGATCTTCAAATAATTTCCTTACCGAAAAAATCATAGTCTGCCAGATATTCAAATAAACTTTAAACTACCCCATTCCTGAAAGACCACGTCTTGTTTGTAATTTATTTCCACATACAATTGCTTCTAACTTTAAATCAGTCAAGTTGTGTGTTACTGTTGAGAAGTGCATCTATTGGCATTATGTAGATGATTTCACAGGAAATCTGTATGGAGGGAGATATTTCAGTTCTTATATATATTAACTTCAGTTCAGTTCTGCTTTTATCTATTGCTCTTGTGAAAAATTGATTTCGGTTCAGTAATGCTTATTGCCCTGTTCGCTTGGCTGATAAGTCATGGCTGAAAGTATTGTCGGCTGATTTGTGGTGAGAGAAAAATATTGTTCGTTGCCTGAAAAAGTACGCCTTATAAACCAAGCGAACAGAGCGTATATTTGAGTGCATCTCTTGAAGGTGCTCTTAGGATGTACTACAAAGGTACTAGAACACAACATGAAGACTACATGTCTTGCAGACATTCTAGGATGTAGGGTCCGTTTGGTTTGTGTCCAGAATCTGCCGCGCCGCATTTTAGGCATGCCAAATAGAGTTAGGTAGAGTTAGGTAGGTGTTTGGTTTACTACCCTAGGTTAGGCTACCAAACAATCTCAGGCGCCGCTGCGGTGCTTTGCCATAGGATTTCTTGCCGAAAGTGCGGCGAATGATTCGTTCGCCGCAACTCTGTCGTTGCAAAAACTTACTGAGCCACCTCCTCCACCACCGGTCCCGATTTCCGTGGATCCACATGCTGAATTGTGGAAGAGGTTAGAAGCTTTGCCTATCTGTACAGATGATAAAATCACCGTTGGTGGGTACTTGGCTCGAGCTGAAAATGAAGGTATGCGTGGTTGGCTCAAATGGTTTCAGTAACACAACTTTGGAGACTTGGGTGTACCAGTTCTTGTGTGACCAAGATGGTAAGCAATGATAGTCGGACTTTTACTGAAGGGTGTTTTGGTGAACTTTTGCTTCTTTTGCACAAGGAACTATGGAAGTGCTCATCATCTAAGCATACTGACCATTGAGGCTTCTGTAAATTATGTGCTGATGCTTTTGGATAGGGTAGACTCAAATGGTCCTCTGCAGCTGATGTCGGTAGTAGTTGATGGTTCTATTTGACTGTATATAGCCCAAATCTGAAGACCAGTAGCTGCTGCTGCTTTTGTATAGGACAGACTGAAGTGGTCCTTTGCAACTCATCATGCTTTTGTGTATACTAATATAGCTAGGGTTTATAATGGATATGGAATGTTGTCATCCTACTGTTAATTATTGCTCAGTTATGTTCACTGGTGCTAATTACTTGCATTCTTTTTCACCGTGTTGGAGTGAAAAGTGTCGAAATACTGGTGTGATGACTTCAAGTGGTAAGCTCACCTCTTCCTTGAATAAGGTAATTGTAATAAACTTTGGCTGTGAACCAAACACCTGCCACATACATTTGCCAGACTTGTGGCAGCTCATATGGCTATGAACCAAACAGTTGCCGGAGTTAAATCTGCCACATCTAGGGCTCCTTTGGAACACGGGATTGGAAAACACAGGAATAGGAAGAATGTAGGAATAGGATAGGATTGTATGTGTAAAACTGAGGATTATAAAATACAGGAAACTTGCAGTAGTTGTTGTTTAGATGAACATAGGAAATTTGTAGGAATTGATGAGCCTGGACTGGATGTTTGTTTTCCTACGTTTCTCCTGGAAAATTGATGACAAAGGATTCTTTCCTCCAAAATTCCTACGGCCCAATCCTATAAACCAAAGGAGACTACAGTAGCCATTCCTATGGAATTGAGAATCCTACATTTTTCCTATGAAATTCCTTTGATCCAAAGCAGCCCCTAAAGTTAGACATGGTAGTTAACTAAACACCTTATTTTTGCTTGGCATGCCGCTACTCTGGCATATGCCTAACCTTAGTTGCGGCAAACTCTGGCTATGAACCAAACAGGCTCGTAGTAACACCCCTTCTGCTCAGTTATGTGCATAATACTTGATGCAACACAAGAAAAGAAATTTAGAAAAGAGAATTTTTCTTCCCTGGACAGCGGCAGCTCTACTCGGAGTCTCGGACCATGGCTTCATGTGGGGCAGATCCTGCTCATCTCCCTTTCACCTTGCACAGGCCAACCGAAACATGCATGTTGCATTATTGTCACTTTTTTTTCTTTCTTGATTTTTGGAGACTTCAAAACAAACCCCCAGAAACGTAATCATCGATTTCAGAAAGGAAAAATGTGCCGTTACAAACTATTACTGAGAACAATCCTACAACTATTCACACATTAAGAGCTCCCTGTTTGCGAACAATCGGCCTGTTCGCTGGTTGATTTCTGGGCTGATAAGCCCGGCTGATGCTGGTTTGTTGTGAGAGGAAAGCACTGTTGGCTGGCTGATAAGTCCTGACTGAAACCAACAAGCGAACTGGCTGAATATCAGAACTGAACTTGTTGGTGCACACTGTACAGCCACGTTCTCCATGTCCTGCTCAGCCAACAGGCACCATCACTTAGCCAAACCAACATAACAAGCAGATTAACAGCGGAGGACTATAACAAAATTACTTCAGGTGAGAGCCCCTAAGCCAGGCCTCATCCATGACAGCTGGAACCAACAGCGAACGACAGGAGTCAGCTTGCACACAATGCAAACGAGACCCTGCATGGATGCCACATCAGACTCAAAACCCTTCAGATAAGAGGTGTGGAGAGAACAAGGACCAGGATTTAGGTAAAACACAATCTGCAAAACGAATGCTGTTAAACAATTTTTCTGCTTGGGACTGAAAGGCTACCCCATGCTGTTAAACAATCTTTCTGCTTGGGACTGAAAGGCTATGTTGTCGTTGTTGTCTTAAGCAAAAGAGAAAACAACTCTAGGGGAAGGGAAAAAAAGACCACACTGAGAACCACAGATATGTGTCCTGTTCGATTGGCTGATAAGTCACGACTGAAAGTATTGTTGACTGATTTATTGTTAGAGAAAAATACTATTCGTTGACTGAAAAAGTATGGCTAAGCCGAGCACTACTCGCACACAGCAGACAGCAGCTGCAGCAAGCGTTGGAACCTCATCAATGGCGCCTCTGACTCGTATGCACCGTGCTGGTGCTGCAGAGTCATGGGGGCACCATCTCAAGACAATAAAGGATGGGCCAGCCCCCACAAAAGGAAACCTGGATTTGGCCCATGACGATTCTACAAAAATGAGCAAGGCACTGGTCGGTGGCCAGAGAAACGACTTTCAAGAGCTGGGTGAGACCAGTGCCCCGAGCTGTTTGCAGCAGCAGCCAGCAAGCCACAGAAGATGCTGGGCCAGCATGGATGAATGAATAGTTACAAGAAACAAAATGTGAACAGTCGAACTTGTCGATTAAGACCGGAAAGGGTCAAATAGGGTGTGGGCTCAAAAACATATTGGATAGCAAGATATCAAACAAAAACAACACGGATGACATCATTTACAGCACTGAAACTTTTATCTGCCTGGTCATGCTGTAAACCTCTAACCTGTAAAGGCAACCTGTCACTCAATTATATGCAACAGGTTAAACATGACGCAGTTCAGGGAAGAACTTGGAAATCTGATAAACATACAGTCTGTTCGATTGGCTAGTTCGTATCGTTGCTGGTTTGTTTACGTGAGAGAAAAATACTGCTGGCTGATTCGCATGAACAGTGCACATGTGAAGGGGCTGGCCAGCCCAGCCAGCCCCAGCGATCAGGCTGATAGTACATATATGTACCGTTTTTTGCAAACAAAGGTACATCTTAATCAGAGTGTTCGGCTCGGCTTATCTCAGCTTGTTTTAGCTTATTCTCTCTCACAGAATACTATTGAATCAACCAAAACCAACTGAAACAAACTAGTACACAGTAGTCTTGTGTACCAGCCGATCGAGCTGAATACTGTTTCTGCAAATCAAGGTACATCTTCGGCCATATGCAAGTGAGCACATGTGAAGCATTCTATGCATTTATAATCTGATGTCAGAACAAACAAATAATTGCATCATGCAGGGCCAATGAGGGGCCATCAGTGGTTACAACTCAGAAAAGGATAACAGGAAAATGGTTGAAAAAATGCGACAAAACTTGCATGGAATTTCCTGAATAACAATTAACATGGTAGCTGATCTGATTCCACTAAAAGGCAAAAAGATAAATTGGTACATATTAAGCTGCGATATCAAGCCGGGGTTCAAAGCAAAACCCAGTGAAAAGCTGGAGAGGAAATCTTTTGCTCACAGGGCATTTCACGGACCACCTCCATTGCTTTTGCATCATGTCAAAAACAAGCAAAGCAGTTGCACCATAGCTTTGTATGTAGACAAGGTCATCTATACCGCTGCAGGCAAAAACATCATCGAGTTCACCAAATCCTTGGAAGAACTTGTGGGGCATCCGAGCTACCTCATGCCACTGTTTCTCATGGAGCTCCCATATTCCTATTCCTTTAATGATATCAGGTCTATTGTGTTTTGCAATTCCACCAACCAAAACCAGCTTCTCATTTAAGTTTACCAAACGGCCACATGTGAGAGAACAAGGTACTGAGATTGACGTTTGCATTAACGAAGTCTCAGATGGTTCACCAGCAAGGTCATACATGATAAGGCCATGACGGGGGTTGACATTGCCAAGAACACCAGTGGAATGAATCAAGCAGTACAGGACACCTTCACATATGACACTATCATCACCTCCTCTCCAACCAATGAACACTTCACTCACAGAAGTTACCCATGTACCACTCGAAGAGTCGTACTTGTATACTGAAAACTCCCATCGGACAAAATCTTCAGGAATCTGCTTAGATTTTGCCAATGTAACGGAGTACTTATGAGACAACCGATCCACCTTCATGGCAATGGTACTGTAGTCTGGCAATGTTTCACCCGGAGGCTCTAAAAGCCTCCTGCAGCTTTTTGTTATAGGGTTAGACACAGATATGGTGTTCCTGTTGTCATTGTCCATGAAGCAAACTAGGCCACAAGAAGAAGAGACAAAACAGCTGCTCTTGTCAATATAAGGAAGCTCTAAATCATACCACTTGCGGAGGATGGGGTCAAAAGCATAACCAGCAGCAGTTTCATTAGAGGTGAACATGAAGTACCATGGACGTTGAGGCAGCATGTGGGTCCACACAAATCTGCTTGAATAGATAATGCCATGCCATCTCTTGCACACTGATGTTGCCCTCATCATGCTTGCTATAGGCAAGAATGTGAAAATCCTCTCCAGGATATCATCAGGAACGACAGCATCCAATGATACTGAGAAGTCGTTGCCACCATTGCTAGCTTCAGAAACAACTCCAGAGTTGAATGCAGGAGTTCTAATGTGATCAACTGGAAGATAGTCCCACGATGACTCCATGAGATGGATCATGAAACAAGCAGACAGAGAGATGACCTGAAGAAAAAAAAATAGATTTGCTCCTAAGAAACAGCAGAGAGTATTTTTCTTCTTACACATAGATATAGACATATTGGAAAAGAAAGTGAAAATCAATTGAAACCATATTGTTTTAGAAGATAGCATTGGCCTATTCTCGGTCAACAAAATGGGGCCTAAACCTAGGCGACTAATAATCCAAGTCCAAGACAATCTAAGACAATGTTATACTCGATTTATCCAAATGAGAAATGTGAGCTGTCAGTTACTGATGCATGCGCAGTACCGTCTACATGCCATGTATAATAAACCGGCACACCCTATATAAATTACATTGCTTGTAAAGCAGTTAAAAAAAACATATATGCTAGCACTGAGTGGCACAGCTCGTCTGCTACAACAATCTTTGCCCTGTTCGATTTATCCAAAAAGTACGGCTTATTATCGATCTACCATAGTGCTAGTTCATACACCTTAATAATTGTTTGCACATAGTCTAAATACTGTGGCGAAAACTGGACAAACATATCACCATTAGACAGGTTAGCATTTCTTGATAAGAGTACTTAATCTTCCTATTCAAAAACAGAAAAGTAACCGCCATATGACAATCTTTCGACAGATCGCCATGCTCCTGCAATGGCAGGATCATCTGTATGGCAACACGGGCAGACCTCGCCATTTCCCCTGCGATCATTGGAAAATAAACCGCACCCGCACCTTAATTGGGTACAAAGGAAAATAAATTGCGCCCGCATCCAGCAATGTCGGCCTTGCGCAGTAAATAAGGAAGAAAATATATGTATCATTTATACACTTAATTGGATCAGATCCGCACACAAATAGGTTACATTAGGGTTTGGGGTACTCGGTTTCGCACAGCAGTAGAGAAGAGAGGAGCGCGGGCATACCTGATGGGTGCTCGTCGCCGGCGAATACCAGGAGAACGGCGGCGGCGGTCGCCTCGTCCTCGCTGCCAGGAAAGCCTGTTTGGGACCGATTCTTCAGCCGATTCTGGCCAAATAAATGGCGAACGGCCCCGAACGCACCGCTCCTCCAGCGCCCCTGGGCGATGCGATTTTTCACGGCCACGCTGCCCCGTCCTCGGCCGGCTCCTCCGCTGGCGGCACAAGACAAGGCAGGCAAGGGGCGGGAGCCCATATATGTAACGGAGAAGGGCGTTGGGAAAGTCCGCTTTCCACCTTTCTTGTTTTTTTATTAATTTAATTTAATATTTAGTACTTTTAAAAGAAAAATAAATTCATCATTTTACTGCTTGTCCGGCTGAGCAACGAGCCGGCTTATTCGGCCTTTTTTTTTTAGCCAGCAGCGTGTTTTTTCTCACAACATTTTAACGTGAACCGTGTTTCCAGCATGAACAGTAAATAATCCATACTAGCCGAGCACTGCCTTACATTAAGGGACTGTTTGGATCCCTTTATTTTGGAGGAATTGAAATCTACATAATGGATTATGCTATTTGGCTTGTAATTTGACATTCCATAATATTTTCAAAACTCACAAATAAGTCTATCTCAAATTTATAGTGTGGTAGATAGAAATTGATTCTATAGATCACTATGCTATAATTCTATTCTCCAACATATAGCACACTCTTTAACTCAATTTTCTACAATAAAAATACAACATATATATAAGTATGTCCCTTGTATGCTTAACAGTAAATATACAAATATATTCCATATATAACTATATTAACTTAATTAATTTATGTCTAAATTGTAATTATTAGAATGAATTCATTCTAAGGATCAAACGGGCTATAAGGGAATACCATGTTCAGTTTCCAAATGAAATTAACTTTTTCTTTGTTTTGAAGACACTATTTTAGCCATCTGATAAATATATGACATTGGAACATTTCCTAAATAATGCATAAAATAATTAGCCAATCAAGTAATGAAAACTCAAAACATTCATCATCATTTCCTAGATATCAGTTTGGATATTTACGTTGGTAAGAGCATCTCCAATAGTTCTAAAAAACAATTGGTAAACCAATAACTTTTTAAGTGGCTCAAAAAAGGTAGGAGCATATTTATTGGGTTCCTCCGATCATTTTCAAAATCTCGCTCCTAAAAGTCAAATTTGTAATATGAATCCCAAACTATTTTCAAACCTTTAGATAGACCGATTGATCGATACACATGTATATTTCTATGTGATTAGGTCGATTTTCCCAAGTGCGAAAAAAATAGAAGTTCGGATAGAAAGTCGTTGGAGAGCAATTTTTTCTAGTCTTCCTAAAAATCAAGATTTGGAGTGAGTTCTGAAAAACTCTTGGAAATACTCTAAGTCATACAAATAGGTATGTGACAAACTTACATGGGAAACCAACTAATGGCTTGAGCCGCTGCCAACTAACAATATTTATCATTTAGTAATGATGTACACACTTTGTCTAGGAAAACATGCAACAATGGGTTGTGTGTCAAATAAAGTTATCCACGTTTGACTAAGTCTTTAGTAAATAATATTCATATTTATGACTCTAAATTAATTTATTATGAAAATATATTTTATATTTGATCTTATAATATTTATTTGACGTAATAAATATTTATAGTTTTTTATCTATAATTGGTCAAACATGATTTACTAAAATATGGTACTATGCTAGAATTGCATGTTTTCCTAGACTGGGGAGTATATTATTATCTTCTTGAATAATAGTACCTAATACAATACTATCTACTCAAGCAAACGACACAGGAGCTCATAAAAGAAATATCTTCCATTTTAGGACATTGAAATCAATAAATGAACACTTCCAACTAATTTTAAATCACTTGGAAAAAAGTGAATACTAATCAACTAAACATTTTCCTTCCTTTGCAGGCAGCAGGGTACAACACTCTTTTGAATGTCTTTATTTATTAGGAGTATTTTTTAAAGAAAAGAAGGATACAGCACGAAAGACGGAAAGGACACGAAAAGCAGATACAGCACACTGCACACAGTCAGCGGCTCAAGCCCACGGGATTGTGGCAAAAACGCGAAAATCCCCCCGGACCCGGAGTCGCATCCCATCCCATGCTCGCTCTCCGCACCGCACGCGACGTGTCCCGTCATGGCCACCGCCGCACCGATGCGGCGGAGCACGTCGAGCACGGCGCACCCAGTCGCCTGGCTGCTAGTGCTTTAGGTGCATGGCACGAAACAATCGCCCGCACGGCTGGCTCCTTGGAACGCAACGCCATAAACAATTGCCGCCGCGCGTGGGCGGGTCCTCGGAGCACAACGGACATGTTCGTTTAAAGGGCGGAGGAACGCAGATGATTTGGAAGAATACTGGAGGAATTTACGAGAGAAAAATATTGTTTTGAATAAAAAAAGTGGATCAAATCGGGTTTAAGGGCACGTGAACAGGACCAACGCTGCCGCGCGCGCCAAAACCCCAGGCTGGGCAGAGCCAGTCCGGCTGGCGGGCATCTAGGACATGTTCGGCGGGTATTAAAGCCGGCTGATAAGTCTGTGGAAGCTATTTTATTATGAGAGAAAAATACTATAAATTTTAGCTGATAAGCCAGCTGATAAGTTCAGACGAACAAGCAGGCGCCGATGCGGCGCTCGACCGCTTCCTGCCACGCAGGCAGCAGGTGGCAGGCGCGCACCCCACCACAGCAGCCGACGGCTCACAACCTATTCGTTTAGCCGTGGCTTATCGTAAACGATCATAAATTTTTAATCAAAACGATATTTTTCTCTCACATAAACCAACCAGAATACTTATTCACAACCAGCGACGAGACAAAGCAGCCAACCGAATCGGTGGACCGGCCTACGCCACTACGCCATGCCAGACCCCGGCACGGCAGCTGAGGCACATCTATCCAGAGCTCGTACGCCCATACTGCGGGCTCCTACCACCGGCCGGACCAGCAGCACTGTAGCATAGTGGTAGGACCGTAAGGTGTAGAACTGTAGCATACATCTACGTATATACTTCCTCTGTCCATCGAATGTGTCGTTTTTTAGTTTTAGACTTTCTATTTGATCGTTTGTCTTATTTAAAAATTTTATATAAATAATAAAATAAATAAATAAATATTAAAGTATCTCTGATGATAAAATAAGTTATAATAAAATAAATAATATTTATATAAAAATTTTGAATAAGATGAACGATTGAACAAGAAGTTTAAAAGTAAAAAACGACATTTTTGATTGGACGGACTGAATATGTGTGCGAGCCGGCTTTTGCTAGCTGCGGACAGCATGCCCTCGGCCGGCCGGCAGCGGCGCAGGCGCCGAGGGCCGGCCGCTCGCGAAGAAAGCAACGTGCCAGCCATGGCATGGACAGTTCACAGTTGGACACGCCGTGCCCCGCCGTAGGCGTGCCCCGAAATGGACCATCCTACCTGCGGCGGCAACTACGGCGCGCCGTATTGGGCTCCGCGGCGCGTACGTTGACTCGCATGTTTGGGTTTTTTATTCACGCCAATATAATTTTTCAAGTTCGAAAATACATCATTATAATTCGTTTATTTGGTGAAGTGCCATTATAACTTCATTCCTCCCTCGTCCATGTCATTCTGTACACGTTCCGCGTACATGGACCCAGTGTCAGGCGCGTACGTGTTCACGGAAGCGTATGGGAGTTAAGGATCCGCCTGCTCCGTTAGCCCGCCCGCGACGCGCGAGCGGAGGGGCGGCTGGCGCGCTCGCCGCGTCCACCGGCACGAACTCGTCGCCGCCATCGAGCCACCACTCGGGACGCAACGCTCCGCGGCATCGCTGAGTCTCGCTCCGCCGGTCGAGGTCCCGCTCCGCGGCCGGGTCTCTGACGACGCGTCCTGCGAGCGCCGACAGCGTCGCTGCCGCTGAGGGCGCATGCTTTGAGGTGTGCGGCACGGCCGCCGGGGAGCAGGAGGTCACGGCGGAGGACATCTCCTTCGCCTGGCCGTGGCGAGGAGACCGACGCCGAGGCACAGGGCCCACACGCCCATCTCCATCTCAACCTCCCCCTCCTC